CTGCGAGGACAGACAACCTGCAGCAGCGCATGGAAGTACTGCTAGAGCAGACTCTCCTCGCCGCCTACGTCAACGTCTCGAGAGGACTTTTCGAACAACATAAACTCGTCTACAGCTTCATGCTCTGTGTTGAGATCATGCGTCAGCAAGGACGCTTAACGGATGCTGAGTGGAATTTCTTCCTCCGAGGTTCTGCAGGATTAGAAAAGGTACCTGTTCCACGTTCAGGCCGTGAGGGTTGCTAGGCAGAGCCCACGTGCACCTACCAGTGCTCCGCAGTGACTCGGGCGGCTGAAGGTGACACATTCGGCTGGTGGCCCACTGGGGAAGGGCCCCGGGGGTCGGGGACCCAGGCGACAACTTAGTTCTGTCTTGAGTAGCTGAGTAATGTTGGTAACAACCTCCTTATGCAGCGATGCCCACACCTGTAGGAAACAGATGTTGGGAGTAACCAGTGAGCTAGTAGATGTGAACATGTTTTGAAAAGTTGACCATCTTAAAACAGGAAGAGTTCAAAGCCAGTAAAAGCTGTAGCCCCCAGACCTGGCCATACCGACTGTGAAATCCTAACCCTCTCTTCCCCGGACGCATCCTTCGTTACAAAGCCCGGCGACGGCGAGAACTTCATTGCTGCCCTCTGTGATACTGCGGTACGAGTTCTGCTACAGCTTCCCTCTTCACGTTTATCCATTTGTCTGACTGGCCCCAGACTGGTCTAACTCATCCACGTACCACCAGCCTGGTGGCCCACAGAACGGAGGCACAGTCCTCCAGCTCTTGCCTGCAGGTCCGTCCAGCCCAGCTCTGCAGGTCTGGGCTCTGTCCTGTCGATCTCGAGCCCGGCCCTGGGCCCCTACAGACCGACCTGACACCTGCACCTGTTTGCCAGAATTTGAGCCTCGGTGTATCACTGGGACATTGGACTTTGTGCTTTTATTTGACTCTCAGCACCCTGTGCTTCCCGGACAAGCTAGTCAAGACCTCTCCACCAGGTGATCCTTCTTCCCTGACCCCCCCCCACCTGCACACAGACATTTTCTGCTAACCCTGGCTTAACGCTGTCTTACCTCCACCATCACAGTTAACACCTACAGAGGGCCTGCTGTGTGCTTTACGCGTATCAGCTCATTCACTTCAGGACTCCTGCTGAGTGAGTTCCTAATTTTATCTCTAGTCTGCAGGTAAGTTGACTAGGCACAGAGAGATTAAGCCACGCATCGTGATCACATTCTCAGCAGGGTGTGGAGCTGAGGTTCGGCCCTCGCAGTCGGTCTGTACGGCCCGCCCTCTCGCCCCTTCGCTCTACTGCGACCGTCAGTCGCTCAGCCGGGCGCTTCTCGGTATTCTTGCTGACAACCTTGTTTATGGTTTTCTCAGCCAGAGGCTCCGAGGGGTTAAAGACCTTTCCAGTATCACCTAATAGCTAATAATGCATGAGAGTGAGATGCAGACCCAGGTCCGACTTTCCGAAGCTCCACGTCCATTCCAGTGCCACCTGCCACTTCTCATGAGCAAAGTATTTTGAAAAGAAATTTAAAATGGGGTTTTAACTATCACCAAGCTTGAAATGTAAGATTACTCAGAAATCATCTTCAGAAACTTCTCCAAAGTTGTCTTTGTTTTTTCAAATTAAACTTTCTTTTCCTCCACCATGAGGAGATTTGAATGAATCTTGACTGATTTTTTTTTTTTAGAAATGTGTTTAGGACCTCTTATCTAGTTCCTATATTTAGTTACTCATTTTTTATATTAATAGATCAATAGAATCAATAAAATAAAGCCTTTAAAAAATACAGGATCACCTTAGTGGATGAAGAAAAAGTATCTGACAAACCCAATACCCTTTTGCCATAAAAGCACAAAACAAGCCAGAAACAGAGAACTTCCTCAGCCGGATAAAGAGCACATACTGACACCACGTCAGTCTGACACCACGCCTGAGGGCAGGAGCCTGGACGCATTCCCCCGAAGGTCAGAAGCAAGACAAGGCTGTTCCACTTCTTCCCAACACTGCACTGGAAATTCTTGCCAGGTCAGTTAGACAAGAAAATGAAATAAAAGGCATCCAGGTGGGAAAGGAAGAAGTAGAACTGTCTCTCTGTGCAGACGACATGGTTTTGTATAGAAAACACTAAGGAACCCACTTGAAAAAAAACTACCAGAACTAGTAAACGAGTTTAGCAAGGCTGCAGGGTACAGAATACAAGACTAATTTGGATTTCTACACACTTGCCATGAACAACATAAAAATGAAATTAACAACATAAGTCCATTTACAACGGCATCACAAAGAATAAAATACTCCAGAGTAAATTTAACAAAAGAAGTTCACACTTTACACTCTGGACCACAATCACAGCTGCTCCTCTGCCCCTTTTAAAGCTGTTTACCCACATGCAGGCGCCTCATGGAATATTGCCAGATGGCACAGTGCTTCTCCCAGAAGTTTCTGAGCGTGTGTGAGATGATCAGACGCGCACGCGCCCAGCCCAGCTGGAACGAGGCTGCCGCTGGTTTTGCCACGGGGGGCTTTCCCTACCTCCTAGACGTGAGACCGTCTGGGTACTGGATTCGCAAACTAGTTCTCTAGAGAAAAAAATCGTTAATATAAGGATATTTGAGGGGCAGGGAGAGATGGGTGCGGCGTGTTGGAGAAGATGCTAGAAGTAGACTTTACAGATTTAGCTTTCACCCTTCACCAGATGAGCTGCTTTCTGCCCACGTCAGCACGAAGAGCTGTCATCACTGCCCTTCCACTCAGCGGCCTGCAGGCAGAGCTGACTCAGCATGACCTCTGTTTCACCACATCTTGTACTTGGCCTGGGTAAAGGGTTATTGTTAACATGCTGTTAGAGGTTTTTCACTTAGACAAGGTGAAAGCATATTTTGTGGCCGTCTTTGTGAATCAGCGTTCATTTTCTGTCTTCTGATAGGAACGCCCACCCAAGCCTGACTTCCCCTGGCTGCCTCCTGCCATGTGGTTCGCGTGCTGTGACTTAGAAGAATTATTTCCAGTTTTTACGGGACTTACAGACCATATAGTGCTACTTCCTATTTCCATACGCATAGGTAATATGTCAAGAAGGGCCCGCCACAGGGGATTTGTACATCAGCTTGTGAATCCTAACTTTAAGGTCTCCTTTAACCTCTCCTGCAATACCGATATCTTTCACAAGGAAATATCTTTACTATTAAGACGTGAAATTTACTTGTTTTCCCAATGTCTTGAGTTGAGTGCTTGGCCCATGAATTTTCAATATTTCATGTTTACTACTATACGCATTTTAAGGCTATACACTGACCTCTAAGTATTGTTTTAGCTGCCTCCCATAGGGTTTTTAAAAAAAAACAACAACTTTTTACTGAAGGATAACAGACATAGGGAAAAGTGCACAGATCAAAACTGACAACCTGGTCATTAAAGTGACTATACTTGCGAGCCACCACCCAAATGAAGGGCCAGACCAGCGGCAGCATCACAGGATCCCCTCACGCTCCTTCACGGGCCTCTTCCCTGGAAGTCGTGCCTCGTCTGAATTCTAACCTGCCGTGTGTTACTTTTCCCCCACAGGTTTTAACATGTAGCCCTTTCGATTCTAAAAGTACACTTTTCAGTTCAAAAGCATTTAGGATTTGGGGAGGACTATCTTTTAACTGTTTATAAGTTAATTATATTGTAGAAATTATACTCATGGTTTGCATGAAATTGATTCTTTGTAATTTCTTTACATTTCAGTTTATGGACAATGTTCCCAGGTGTGTCTTTTCTTGGATGCAGGATTCCATATGTGATCTTTAGTCCAAACCTATCCATTATAGTGTTTATTTTACTGTTTTTTTATGCTTTATCAGTTATTTTACTGTTTTTAGACCTAGCAGTCTCTAAGAGAGGTGTATTAAGGTATACCATTATGACTGGTAATCTCTCTTTGTAATTCTGGACTTTTCCCCATTATACCTTGTGGAACTGATGCTGTTAAGTATAAACAGGTTTAGGATTATCCTCCTCCTAGCAAACTGTTCCTTTTTTATTAATATTCCTCTTTACCCTCAACAGTGCTTTTTTTGCCTTAAAATATATTTTCTAGTGTTAATAGTATCACAGCAGGACTCTCGTCATGAGCTTCCCCTCTGTGTGTTTCTACGCTGTCTTCAACTCTTGTGTCACCATCATGTTCTGGTGTATCTTTAGTGGGGGTCTGTTGTTCTGAGCAATGTGAGTCTCTTTTTCACCAGGCAAGTTTTAATCTAATTATTATAAGGATGGTCTTTAATCTATTTCAGTGGCTCTCAACTGGGGAAGATTTTGTCCCGCAGGGGACATTCAGCAATGTCTGAAGGCATTTTTGGTGGCCACGACTGGGGTGGTGCTGTAAGCAACCAGCAGGTAGAAACCAGGCGTGTGGATCAGAGCAGCCTCACAACAGATGACCACTTGGCCCCACGTGGCAGCAGTGGCAAGGCTGAAGACCCCTTCTGTCATTGTATTTTGTAGGGAAGTTTTTTCTTGGCAGGCTTTTTCTTTGCCTCATTTTTACTTCTTGTTTCTTGCCTTCAGGTCAGTTAGTTGTCCACATTCTTTTTAAATTTCCCCTGTACTGATCTGAAGTTCCGTGTTCTATGTCTGTTTTTTAGTAATGACTCTTCTATTTCTCATATGAAAATCTATTTAACTGAGTACACCCAGTAAGTGTGGTGGTTCCAAGTCTGCATGGACCAGAATTTTTGGGATCCTAATACACTCATTTGATTTCTAAATAAAGACTAGAAGAAAATAAAATGCTCTTCCATAGATGAGTCAAATAAAAATTATGTTTCTATATTGTGGGCCAGTTAAACAAGACAGCTAGAGGTAGAGGAAGAATGCAGAAAAGAGCGTCACTCACAGGAGAAGCTGCGTGATGGCAGTCAGGACAGACCCAAAGCAGAAGGAGCCCCATGCAGCCTCATGAACAGGGAGGCAGAGAGAAGGGGAGGAGGGGAGGCTGAAAGGCTGGAAGAACAAGTCATCATGTTTGGACAAAAGGCACCATGTTAACCCTGCCAACTGGGACTAAAATTTCAACAATTTAAGTTTCCTGCTTTTCATCTGCTAAATTTCAAGGTTTATTCTGGAAAAATCCTGCAGAATCGTGAAGGCTTGCACATCTGATAGGATGCCTTGTGTTCTAAAAGTGAACTTTAACATCTTTGCACGTGAAGTTTAATGATTAATTTCAATGCCAGTCTTACCTTCAGAGGCTCCCTACTTGCCTCCATCTTTCATCTCTGATGGTTTCTAAGTGCTTCATGTCCTGTTAGCTGAGAGTTGTTATCATTTTAAATGATCCAGTCTTATTAGCCAAAGCCCTTGTGATGACACAATAATGAGAACCTGAGAAGTCCTTTTGGAATAAATGGTTCTCAGAATAATGCATCCTCTTTCACTAAAGAGCATGTGGTGTGCTGTGCCCTGCGGTCTCACCAGGTCACTGTCTACATTTCATGTAGAAATTAGAAGTCTTTCAGAGGTACGTACCGCGCCAGGGCCATGGTCTCAAGTGTCACTAAAGTTCTAACTGTCACCAGCTCTGTGGTTGGCCCCCCGAGGAGAGCCCCAGCAGCCCAGCGGGACAGAGTGGTTTTCCAGCCTGATCTGGAAGCCAGCCATTCTGCCTGATGTTCGGCCCCAGCAGCCTGTTTCCTCACTGGGGGACGTGCTGGCCGAGCTGGCTTGCTGAGCGTCTTAGGGCACACGGTGCCCCCGGACCTGCGGGAACGTCCTTGCTCATTCTTACTACAGGTTAGAACCACAGTAAGGGCCACCTACCTAGGATCCTACCCCTCATGCGAGATGTTCCATGGGGTGGGGGTGGGGAGGGCACTGTGTTCTGTTTATTATGGCCTAAAGTTGTATGTACG